AACTACCAATTAGATATCACGAAATTTGGGTAAAAAATACAAGAAAGTGAAATCACATTAAACAATACTTTTTTTTTCTCACCATTGTCTTTTCTCAAAGAATGTCCAGAGTTTGTTGGCCCTCTTCTCTGGTGTGTTCTCGTCGTTGGGCAGCTCAGCCTGTTATCCTTAGGAATTAGCTTGAAAATAGCCTGTTGGACACACAAGGGGCATCGTTTAGGATCAGCAAAATATCAGGGAGGGACTAAATATGGTATACCGTAAATTTGCTTCAATCACTGAACACAACCAGCACTTATTAGAGACAGGCCTCTATTTGAGCCAGGTGTCTATTTCCTTAATGCACACAGCTTTTGCTCAAAACAATTTTGAATAGACTACCACACTGTTTATTGAGACCAGTATGACCAGTACAAACATTATAATAACAAATCCATCGCAGATCAGACTTGCAACGACTAGACTGCCTATCATACACCCCCATTTCGCGCTTCAACACCATGGAGAGCGATTCCGGTGATGTAGTGTTTTCTGTTTGGTGGTGCGATGGCTAGCACCAATGACAGAATTTTGTACAAATGTTTTTAATGCACATGACCGTGGGAATATCAGAGCTGTATCCATGGTAATCTCATAAATAATTAATTTAGACCTGGCATTTATTTGAAACAGGTGTTTATTTGCTGAAATGTGTGCTGATGCCAGGCTATTAAAAGTGACAGGCGGCTATTTGAGACTCAGTGTTTAATTGAAGTTTTACGGTTTGTCACTTTCATCAGTTATTCTGTAACATGGGAGATTTACAGACAAACAAAAGCAAATCTTGCGAACTATGCCAAAAACCATGAAACCATTTTATCCACATTCACTTTTGGAATTACGCTCAATACAAGCGGCTTGTTGTTGTAAAGTGTTTGTGAAAGGATGTCATGGACATTCTCTCACCCTATATAAACACCAGAGAACATGAGAACATATCCTTAGAACACCCCAATCCTGTTCTTTTTAATCTTCTCACAAAACTTTATCCCAGGCCTGATTAAGTTTATATGGGAACATTTTAAAAGAGAGATTACTGTGGAACATTGATGGATGTACTATGAAACGATCAAATTATAATCTTTATAGGTATAAAGAAAATGTATCGCTCCGGAGCGTTGTCAAAAACACACACTGCATTCTTTCCTAAAACAATGTAAATGTCTGAAATAATCATATACCATTCACATGAAAATTTAAAATATTTGCATTCAGTGAAATATGTTGGTTTTGAGGGATTTCAAATGTTAGTATCTACCATTTATAAATATGCTTCCCATCTGAACCTTAGTTTTTGATTAAATCGCATTGTGTTCCCATGTCTTGTAAGCAATCAAAATAACATTTTGGAGAGAAGTATGGTGGTACAAAAACCAAATGTCAGCGTTTCAACTGTAAACATGGAGCTTAAAGAAGATTAGAGCCTAAGGACTGGTGCGAACTGACAAAGCAGCAGCTTGTTCTCATTAACAGTTCACACAGACTCCGTTTCTTTAGAAGGACATTTGCTTTATATATATATATATATATATATAAACTACTACTAACCCCAGCAAAATACATTGTGGCGTTTGCCATTGGTCACATTTACATGGCAAAGCACTGACTGTTCAGATATTGGTTGGCAATATTGTGTACTTCACCATTATCACTACATGGTGGGACACTCACTATCATTCGAAGAGCCATATAAGAAATGGTAGGTTTAAAAAAACATTTACATTTGAGTTAAAACATTATTAACGATTTTAGTATTCAACCTCCTTTGCATGTTTGAACAAATTACACATTTACTTTCAGACAGCCATGGGAGATAATCGCACAGTGACTGCCACGTACATTTTGACCTGCAGCCCAGGACACACAGAGATGAGTCTTTAAGTTTGAGACACTGTTTATCCCTCCCTCCCTCCCTCCCTCCCTCCCTCCCTCCCTCCTACACCCTTTCAGTTTAACCTCAGTACTAGGTCATGTTAAATTGTTTACCGCTCATTAATTCAGGCCACCCTCAGTATACAACTGGTTACCTAAGTGATGTAGAGCTGACTAAGGGTCCAGTTAATCAGTGCCAGAATGAATCTGCACCACAGGGACATTGACACTATCACTGAGGCAAAATAATTCACACCTGCCTCCAGGTCACTATAGTGCTCCTTGAGACTCCATAGCAGAAGTGAGGCACCCAAGCAATGAATTGTGAGATATTGGGGTTTCCACTATCTTTTTCAAATATAAAGTCAAGATTTTTTTGATTGAACATTCAATTTTATGGTTTAGTTTGCTCATGTTGTAAAGTGTTTAATTATCCTATGGTTGAGAACCCTTGATATGAGCATCGGCCATTTCTGGGTAAAAGGTTTGTGTGTAGAAATGTCAGAGGATCTGTTCAGGGGGTGTATTAAATTTTTTTTTTCTTCTTTTTTCATACTGGCTCCCCGTGGGAAACGAACCCACAACCCTGGCGTTACAAGCGCCATGCTCTACCAACTGAGCTACACGGGACTACAGATCTTAGAAGCTAAAACAGAGCTTGAGGCTTATCCCTCCTCCATACTGCCTGAGACCCTAACAACAGCCCCTCCCCCATCTCTGTCAATCACCAAGTAGCTCAACAACGAGTCGGACACGAAGGATTTACTTCAGACACCGGACAAGGCCCAAATCCCTCTCATTCGCATGAAGAAAAGACAGAGATATAGGGGACGTAGGTCGGGTGCCTTGTAAGGATCCGACGGCGAGTGGGTAATCCGCCTCGACCAATCGTCCTATTAGCCAACGTGCAGTCATTGGATAATAAACTGCATTTCACGGTAATGTCTACACCTGTTGTATTCGGCGCATGTGGCAAATAAAATTTGATTTGATTTGATTTGATCAAGACTATCCTACCAACGGGACATTAAAACCTGTAATATCTTATGTTTCACAGAGTCGTGGCTGAACGACGACATGGATAACATACAGCTGGCTGGGTTTTCCGTGCATCGACAAGATAGAAAAGCTGCCTCCGGTAAGACAAGGGGTGGGGGTCTGTGTCCATTTGTCAATAACAGCTGATGCATGAAATCTAATATTAAGGAAGTCTCGAGGTTTTGCTCTCCTGAGGTAGAGTATCTCATGATAAGCTGTAGAACACACTATTTACCAAGAGTATTTTCATCTATATTTTTCGTAGCTGTCTATTTACCACCACAAACCGATGCTGGCACTAAGACCGCACTCAACGAGCTGTATAAGGCCATAAGCAAACAAGAAAATGCTCATCCAGAGGCGGCGCTCCTAGTGGCCGGGGACTTTAATGCAGGGAAACTTTACCTCATTTCTACCAGCATGTTACATGTGCAATCAGAGATAAAAAAAACTCTAGACCACCTTGACTCCACACACAGAGACATGTACAAAGCTCTCCCTCGCCCTCCATTTGGCAAATCTGACCATAACTCTATCCTCCTGATTCCTGCTTACAATCAAAAATTAAAGCAGGAAGTACCAGTGACTCGCTCAATACAGAAATGGTCAGATGACGCAGATGCTAAGCTACAGAACTGTTTTGCTAGCACAAACTGGAATATGTTCCGTAATTCTTCCGATGGCATTGAGGAGTACACCACATCAGTCACTGGCTTCATCAATAAGTGCATCGATGACGTCGTCCCCACTGTAACTGTGCGTACATACCCCAACCAGAAGCCATGGATTACAAGCAACATCTGCATTGAGCTAAAGGGTAGAACTGCCGCTTTCAAGGAGCGGGACTCAAACCTGGACGCTTATAAGAAATCCTGCTATGCCCTTCGACGAACCATCAAACCAGGCAACGCATCAATACAGGACTAAGATTGAATCCTACTACACCGGCTCCGATGCTCGTATGAAGTGGCAGGGCTTGCAAACTATTACAGACTACAAAGGGAAGCACAGCCGCGAGCTGCCCAGTGACACGAGCCTACCAGATGAGCTAAATGACTTCTATGCTCGCTTTGAGGCTAGCAACACTGAAGCATGTATGAGAGCACCAGCTGTTCCGGACGACTGTGTGATCATGCTGTCTGTAGCCAATGTGAGTAAGACCTTTAAACAGGTCAACATTCACAAGGCCGCAGGGCCAGATGGATGACCAGGACGTGTACTCCGAGCATGCACAGTCCCCTCCTGTACTCCCTGTTCACTCATGACTGCATGGTCAAGCACGACTCCAACACCATCATTAAGTTTGCCGACGACACAACAGTGGTAGGCCTGATCACCGACAACGACGAGACAGCCTATAGGGAGGAGGTCAGAGACCTGGAAGTGTGGTGCCAGGATAACAACCTCTCCCTCAACCTGATCAAGACAAAGGAGATGATCGTGGACTACATGAAAAGGATGGCTGAGCACGCCCCCCCACCCCCATTTTTTACGGTGCTGCTACTCTCTGTTTATTATCTATGCATAGTCACTTTACCTCTACCTACATGTACATATTACCTCTATTACCTCGACTAACCTGTGCCCGCGCACATTGACTCTGTACCAGTACCCCAGTATATAGCCTAGTTACTGTTATTTTATTGTTGCTCTTTAATTATTTGTTATTTTTCTATTTTCTATTTTTATTTATTTATTTTTTACTTCAGTTTATTTTAGAAAATACTTTAACACTTATTTTTCTTAAAACTGCATTGTTGGTTAAGGGCTTGTAAGTAAGCGTTTCACTGTAAGGTCTACACCTGTTGTATTCGGCGCATGTGACAAATAAAACTTGATTTGAAGTAGTACAACCATATGACACTTGGTGACCAGAATCAACCTCACACAGCCTTAACCCCCTCAATGCCAATACAGAGGGCTAATTTAAGGCTAGTTTGGATTTAGATGACAAGCATCAGTCAATAGCATTAGTTTCTAACATACATGCCATCTCTATCTACCCATCCGTTCCCCGCTTCCCTTCCCCCCACTCGCGCTGCAGATCTCGGTCACTTCCGACTTGGTGATGTATCCGTCTTGTCCACGTCGAACAGCGAGAAGGTCCACTCCAGCTTCCTGGTTGTCTTGCCCGTGGACGTCAGGTGCAGTGCGATGATGTACTTCTTGAAGTCCAGAGTGCCGTCATCGTTGGTGTCGAAAGAGCAGAAGACATGCTGCGCGTACATATGGGCATTGCTCTCGGGGAGGAAGAAGAAGCTGTAGGTGACCTCGAACTCCTTGGGCGTGATACATCCTGTGGGACACAACTTCTGGAAGTTGTTTTACCAATGGGTGATCTCCGTCTCTGTGAACTTGGTGCTGAGCTTCAGGTCTTCCAGGATCTCTTTGGAGAAGGCGCTGTTCTTGCCGTTCCCCATGTTATGTTTTCAGGTGAAAGAAATAGACCAGTTATGACCATTATAGGGCAAATGTATATCAACACGGACTGTGATGTGGAAACAAGACATAAATAGATGTCTATCTTACCTGTGTGAGTGACTCAGAGAAGACGAGTCAAGATTAAAGTGATACTCATATGGTCAGCGGAGAGAAAAGTGGGATTGAGAAAAGTGGGATTCTGTAACACCTGCCGGCTGGGCTAAGTCAATTATACAGGATTTTTAAGGCGCTGAGCCACAAACACACCCAAATGAACTTCTTACATTTTTTAAGTCATTTTGGCAGAAGCTCTTATTTTTCATACTGCCCCCCCTGGGAATCGAACCCACAACCCTGGCGTTGCAAACGCCATGCTCTACCAACTGAGCTACATCCCTGCCGGCCATTCCCTCCCCTACCCTGGACGACGCTGGGCCAATTGTGCGCCGCCCCCATGGGTCTCCCGGTCGCGGGACAGAGCCTCCATCATTTCTACATGTTAACACACATAATATATTTTATGCAATGTCTATGTAATGTCTTAATATGTCCTTATTTTTCTATTGCCCATTCTTAACAAGTAAAGTACAAACAACATTAAACAATGACATTATTTTAAACCTATTGCCATATCATTTTATCCACATAGACTGCTGTGTAGGTATTGTCTGTAGCTTTACCTTCAACACCATCACTAAGACTAGTCCATTATCAACACTTGAGTTGAATAAGAAAACAACAACAATGGTCTTACAGATATTAGCTGTTTTTACAGATATCAGCTGAGATTAGTGTATAGGGGCCATGTAACCATTTCTCAACACATTTTTGGCAGTTCCTAGATTGCCAACTGTAGGTCCGTCTTTTAGGTTTGGGTGCTTTAGTCAGTTGGGATCCCACTTAAGTAGAGGGTTTGGTCAAACATGTTCAACTATGTACTGTAATATAGAAAACATGCTCACTGTTTCGTTGTTGCCAGATGTGGTCATTTAATAAACCATCAAGCTTTATTCAAATCACCTTCAAGGTAAATTACCATGTTAGCTTTATTAAATCACCATGTTTGGGAGCAGCATAACAGTGAGCAAAGATTCCTTTGTTGATGTAGATCCTCTTTTTGTCGAACTCCTTTTACTATTTAAGATGTTCATAAACCCCCTCTTTCCATCGTGTATACTTAACCACTATCGAGACAGAGACAGAATAGTAAAGGGTGGTCTCAAAACACAAAGGTAACCTATTCTTCTCCAGTAATTAGAAAGGGCTAAACCTTTAGTTTCTTGGGTCTTACAGAACTAAGACGAGTTAGTGATGATTGGCCCCTCTGTCTTTGGTCCAGGGCACTTAAGTGCGCTTACCTGAACCATGACCCATAAGCCGTAGCCCACCACACTCCTTCCCTCAGTAAGAGCATTGAAGATGGGTCGTGGCTGGGTCTTCCAGCATGACAATGACCCGAAACACACAGCCAGGGCAACTAAGGAGTGACTCCGTAAGAAGCATCTCAAGGTCCTGGAGTGGCCTAGCCAGTCTCCAGACCTGAACCCTATCGAAAATCTTTGGATGGAGCTGAAAGTCCGTATTGCCCCGAAAACTGAAAGGATCTGGAGAAGGTCTGTATGGAGGAGTGGGCCAAAATCCCTGCTGCAGTATGTGCAAACCTGGTCAAGACCTACAGGAAACGTATGATCTCTGTAATTGCAAACAAAGGTTTCTGTACCAAATATTAAGTTCTGCTTTTCTGATGTATCAAATATTTATGTCATGCAATAAAATGCTAATTAATTACTTAAAAATCATACAATGTGATTTTCTGGATTTTTGTTTTAGATTCCATCTCTCACAGTTGAAGTGTACCTATGATAAAAATGACAGACCTCTACATGCTTTGTAAGTAGGAAAACCTGCAAAATCGGCAGTGTATCAAATACTTGTTCTCCCCACTGTACCTAAGTATAATGAACAAGAAAATGAATAGTTATTTATGGTTGTTTATCAAAGTTAGCTGGCTAACTCATTGATCCTGCTTTGTAGTATAGCCCTCTGGAGGGGCCAAGTTTTTATTGACTTGGTTAACACGTTTTCTCCTTCTCCCTTTTCCTTACCCCACCTGTAATGCTTAGTGTTATTGGTTAATTGACAGGCACAATGTTAATTTGACACCCACAGTCAGCGTATTATAGGGACCCAACACTGTGAAGGGGTTTTCGTTTATCAACACTGAAAAAGATGGGCCTATGTACTGATTTTAACACTGTGTATTGAATCTTAGCCAGAAAGGCTGTGTTTACTCAGGCATCCCAATGCCGATCTTTTGCCCAATTATTGCCAAAATATCATAATTGGGTTGCCTGTTTAAATGCAGCCAAAGTGTGTTTGAATCTAAATTAATAAAAATTATTTTGTGTTTTAAATGAATACAAACATTCTTACAGCAAAAGAGGTATGTATTTTAGACCGTAGTATAATACCGGTTACCAATTTTCGGTGAGCGCTTCTGGTGCAGTTTTAGGGGGTTAATTTCCTTGCTCAAGGGCACACCAATCAGAGAAACCATTGAGGATACTGATTATATGTCTATTTTTTGTCTATGTGCTTGTTTGTTATACAGTGCATTCGGAAAGTATTCAGAGCCCTTCACTTTTTCCATATTTTGTTACATTACAGCCTTATTCTAAAATTGATTAAATATATATGTTTTTCCTCATCAATCTACACACAATACCCCATAATGACAAAGCGAAAACAGGTTTTTAGACATTTTTGCAAATGTATTAAAAATAAAAACCAGAAATACGTTTTCAGACCCTTTGCTATGAGACTCGAAATTGAGCTCAGGTGCATCCTGTTTCCATTGATCATCCTTGAGATGTTTTTACAACTTGATTGGAGTACACCTGTGGTAAATTCAATTGATTGGACATGATTTTGAAAAGGCACACACCTGTCTATATAAGGTCCCACAGTTGAATGCATATCAGAGCAAAAACCAAGCCATGAGGTTGAAGGAATTGTCCGTAGAGCTCCAAGACAGGATTGTGTCGAGGCACAGATCTGGGGAAGGGTACCAAAAAATGTCTGCAGCATTGAAGGTCCCCAAGAACACAGTGCCCTCCATCATTCTTAAATGGAAGAAGTTTGGAACCACCAAGACTCTTCCTAGAGCTGGCCACCCTGCCAAACTGAGCAATCGGGGGAGAAGGGCCTTGGTCATGGAGGTGACCAAGAACCTGATGGTCACTCTGACAGAGCTCCAGAGTTCCTCTGTGGAGATGGGAGAACCTTCCAGAAGGACAACCATCTCTGCAGCACTCCACCAATCAGGCCTTTATGGTAGTGTGGCCAGATGGAAGTCACTCCTCAACAAAAAGGCACATGACAGCCCGCTTGGAGTTTGCCAAAAGGCACCTAAAGACTCTCAGACCATGAGAAACAAGATTCTCTTGTCTGATGAAACCAAGATTAAACACTTTGGCCTGAATGCCAAGCATCACGTCTGGAGGAAACCTGGCACCATCCCTACGGTGAAACATGGTGGTGGCAGCATCAAGCTGTGGTCGTCAGGATTGAGGGAAAGATGAATGGAGCACAGTACAGAGAGATCCTTGATGAATACCTGCTCCAGAGCATTCAGGACCTCAGACTGGGGTGAAAGTTAATCTTCCAACAGGACAATGACCCTAAGCACACAGCCAAGACAACGCAGGAGTGGCTTCGGGACAAGTCTCTGAATGTCCTTGAGTGGCCCAGCCAGAGCCCGGACTTGGGAGAAACTCCCCAAATACAGGTGTCCCAAGCTTGTAGCGTCATACCCAAGACGACTCGAGGAAGTAATCGCTGCCAAAGGTGCTTCAACAAAGTAAAGGGTCTGAATACATATGTAAATGTAATATACAGTACCAGTCAAAAGTTTGGACACACCTACTCATTCAAGGGTTTTTCTTTATTTTTACAATTTTCTACATTGTAGAATAATAGTGAAGACATCAAAACGATGAAATAACACATATGGAATCATGTAGTAAGTTAAACAAATCAAAATATGTTATATTTGAGATTCTTCAAAGTAGCCAACTTTTGGCTTGATGACAGCTTTGCACACACTTGGCATTCTCTCAACAAGCTTCACCTGGAATGCTTTACCAACAGTCTTGAAGGAGTTCCCACAAATACTGAGCACTTGTTGACTGATTTTCTTTCACTCTGCGTTTCAACTCATCCCAAACCATCTCAATTGGAGGCCAGGTCATCTGATGCAGCACTCCATCACTCTCCTTCTTGGTAAAATAGCCCTTTCACAGCCTGGAGGTGTGTTGGGACATTGTCCCACTAAGCCCAAACCAAATGGGATGGCGTATCGCTGCAGAATGCTGTGGTAGCCATGCTGGATAAGTGTGCCTTGCATTCTAAATAAATCACAGTGTCACCAGCAAAGCACCCCCACACCATAACACCTCCTCCTCCATTCTACACATGCAGAGATCATCCGTTCACCCACACCGCGTCTCACAAAGACACGCCGGTTGGAACCAAAAATCTCATATTTGGACTCCAGACCAAAGGACACATTTCCACCTGTCTAATGTCCATTGCTCATCTTTCTTGGCCCAAGCAGGTCTCTTCTTCTTATTGGTGTCCTTTAGTAGTGGTTTCATTGCAGCAATTCAACCATGAAGGCCTGAACCGTTGATGTTGAGATGTGTCCGTTACTTGAACTCTGTGAAGTATTTATTTATAATATAATAATATGCCATTTAGCAGACGCTTCTATCCAAAGCGACTTACAGTCATGCATGCATAATTTTTTTGTGTATGGGTGGTCCCGGGGATCGAACCCACTACTTTGGCGTTACAAGCGCCGTGCTCTACCAGCTGAGCTACAGAGGACCCCGGGCTGCTATCTGAGGTGCAGTTAACTCTAATGAACTTATCCTCTGCAGCAGAGGTAACTCCGGGTCTTCCTTTCCTGTAGCGGTCCTCATGAGAGCCAATTTCATCATAGCGCTTGATGGTTTTTGCGACCACACTTGAATAAACATTAAAAGTTATTGTAATTTTCCATATTCACTGACCTTCATATCTTAAAGTAATGATGGACTGTTGTTTCTCTTTGCTTATTTGAGCTGTTCTTGCCATAATATGGACTTGGTCTTTTACCAAATAGGGCTATCTTCTGTATACCACCCCTACCTTGTCACAACAAAACTGATTGGCTCAAACACATTAAGAAGGAAAGAAATTCCACAAATGTACTTTTAAGAAGGCACACCTGTTAATTGAAATGCATTCCAGGTGACTACCTCATGAATCTGGTTGAGAGAATGCCAAGAGTGTACAAAGCTGTCATCCAGGCAAAGGGTGGCTATTTGAAGAATCTCAAATATAAAATATATTTTGATATGTTTAACACTTTTTTGGTTACTACATGATTCCATATGTGTTATTTCATAGTTTTGATGTCTTCACTATTATTCTACAATGTAGAAATAGTAAAAAATAAAGAAAAACCCTGGAATGAGTAGGTGTGTCCAAACTTTTGACTGGTACTGTGTACATATATTTCTAAAAACCAGTTTTTGCTTTGTCATTATGGGGTATTGTGTGTAGATTGATAAGGAAAAAAAACGATTTAATCAATTTTAGAATAAGGCTGTAAGGTAACAAAATGTAGAATACATTCCAAATGCACTGTGTGTGTGAAGCACCACTATAGCACCTATAGAATTGTCCTAAGGGGGGAAATAAAGTTGTTTGAATTTAATTTATATGCCAGGAACTGAAATACCTTAACTTTGATTTAATTTTCTCAACCACACCAAGAGAGACCTCTGGATAGACTGGCGCCAAGACGTGTTTGTTAACATCAGTCCCCCAATTAACCTGTGAATTAAATCAAACTACTTAAAGGTTCAGATGGCCAGAACACCCATTGACAGAGGCATAGCTCCGGATCCCCTTAAAGCAGGATGGTATAGTGACACTCTTCAGCTATAATCTTGTCCTCACATTCCACTTTGTCCACACACACCGTATCCATTGTGATCTCCCTGGCCTGACACACATTCACCCCCACTTGTTTTGTCCATCTATTCCTATTTTAAAGAGGGGTTTGTCCCCTGGGCTAGAAATTTACTTTGCACAGAGCCCCTGGTTATTGGATTGTGTTTCGACAGCCCCCTCAACTCTCTGAGCCAGTAAAGCTGCTGCCCCAAGACCGAATACAGTCTAACCTTCGCTCTAAATTAAGGTTTAGGCCTAGTGGGTGGCGGGCCGGCCGTGCTATTGAAGGAATCTTTTGATTGACGGCGAGACAGAGGGAGGAGAGGCTAAAGTGATGGTTTATGCCAGGACGGAGCAGTGCCAAAGCGATCTAATGGCCACGCCATCCATCCGTCTGTTTGTCAAAGATACATGCCATGGTAAATATAGTGAGGAGTATGAAAAGAGCTGGCGATTAGATCACAACAATGGAACATGGAACAAACAGGCCAGGCTATATAGGCAGGGCAACTCCGGTCCTGGCGGACCTCAGACTGTGCAGGCTTTTGTTCCAGCTCCTTTGTTTTTGCCCAGCTCTTAAAAACCGGATTAGACTAATCATGATCTTCATTTAAGGCCATGATTAAATTGAAGACCATCATTAATTAATTAAATCAGGTGTTGATGCTGAACTGGAACAAAACTCTGCACACACTGTGGCTGGCCCTCTTACACCAGAGTTGCCCTCTTATAGACCACAAGTCAAAAAAAGCTATACATTTGGCAGGACAAATCTATTTTCTCTTCTTCCAGGAGAGCCCATTTTCTCTCCCCTGCCTTCCATGAAGCTTAAGTACTAAATACTTATTGCCAGGTTTACAGGATATGAGTTTATTGACGGTATCCTCTGAATAAGGCAGCATTAAACATTTGCTCTTATTGGCATATTGAATTGTGGTCATACACAGCACCTACAAACAAGAGTACAATTATGAATATCTATCTACACATAGTAGTAGGCATAGTAGTCACCATACATACTTGCATTGGTGTGTCTCTACGATGGAATATGCATTGAGTGCATGTAGGTTCTTAAGTGCGTTTAAATGTATGCTGTGTGATTTGTGGCTTAGTGGTTAAGAGCGTTGTGTCAGTAACCGAAAGGTTGCTGGTTCTAATCCCCGAGCCGACTAGGTGAAAAATCTGTCGATGTGCCCTTGAGCAAGGCACTTAACCCTAATTGCTTCTGTAAGTCGCTCTGGATAAGAGCGTCTGCTAAATGACTAAAATGTAAAATGTAAATTTGGTTGAATAAGAGTGTCAGTCCAAACAGGTCTACTGGTACATAATGTACATACTCTCCTTGTGGGGACCTGAGAATAAATGAGTTTGTCTCCATCTACAGTTCACTGTAGGAACTGTCCCAAGATAAGAGGGAATGGTCAGAGAGACTGAAAATACTGCAACTGCTGGAAGTGTGCCTACTAGAAATGTAAAACGCAATGGATCACAGTTATTACACTGCAGGGTTGCAGTTTGTGACAAGCAATTAATATTTCACTACCATCAAAATGATTTACATTACTAGTACACCTATAAACCTTTCCAAAATTGAAAGAGCCCCGAAGAGGCTGTTCAAGCAAGGAAACATTTATTTGCAAAATACCTATATGAAAAAGATTGACTGTAAGACCACACAAGAGATTTCAAATCACATCCACTAATAGCATCCATGTAACAGATGAGCAATTGCATTATTAAAGAAATGTTTGGACATTAATCGTTTGTAATATACAGGGGACATTACACGTTAGGTGAGTGCATTCGACTGCTTGGCATGAAACAGTGCTATTATTACCCATCAAACATTAATACTGATGGACTCAAGTCTCAGAAGAAAATGTAAAATACTGCACTAGAACAAGAACTATTGAAGTGGTTCAATGTGAGGGGAGATTGGGGGTAATTGATCCATGTCTGGCATCCACCCACCAATGTGTAGACAGAAAGCCTATTGAAAGAAGAGGCAGAGAGAGCGAGAGGTTACAGATCAATTGCATGTAATTATTTTATATGCTGCAGAGTAGATGCATCACAATTAGCATGTCTTGGCATGTATTTATTTTATTTAACCTTTATTTTAACAGGGAGTCATGCTGTCTCTTTCACAGCTGAGCCCTATACTGTATGTATCATTTAGAATATGTTTGGGTCTATAAACCATTATTCAAGTTCCGATAAGTAACTTACCTGCTTTTATGGACAGCCACTGCCCTAAGGTCCCCTGGTGCGATGGATATGCATCTTGCGGCTGAGGGTGCGGGCCAGTCGGTCCACGGTGGTGCCAATGTGGCCCAGCTCTTTGCTGGAGGCAAGGCCGTCAATGTTGCCGCTGTACCACAGCACCCAGCCCCCTAGAGACATGAGCACGAACAGTGCCCCTGTGTACACCAGGAGATCCCCAAAGTCCCTGCCTTTGATATCCAGAGGGACAAATACTCCCACCAGCAAGGCGGCGCCACCCAGAAAGTCCATCAAAACAGCAAAGGCCAGGGCCAGTTTACAGTGGGACAGGCCGTCACAGAGCCCCATGGTCACACCTGAGAGAGCGAGGGAATCAGAAATCTTGGTAACATAAGTGCAGCAAATATGAATATGATATGCTAGGGAATATGAAAGGCTAAATATAATCTAATCTACATGAGTGGGAAATAAAAGTGGTTGGTATTAGGTTCCAAAAGTTTGTATGGTATAAACAGGAATCCACTAGACAAAAACTGTTTTAATCAACGTTGTTTCCACTTAATTTCAACCAAAATATTATATGTAATGACGTTGAATCAACTTGGAAAACTGTTTAGATTTGCAAAAAGTCATCAAAGTAAGGACATTTCGTATTTTTTTCACCCAACTTTTAACCTAAATCCAATGAAAGGGTGCAATTGTTGGTTGATTTCACGTTGAATTGTCGTTAGTTGACAACTCAACCAAATGTAAATCAAAACTGTGCCCAGTGGGAAGGCACTATTTTATAATATCTGAATAGCCTAAATAATTACATTTTCACTCCAAAGCAACACAAAGAAAATAGTAAGGCAGAATACATTGTTAAACAGGCTTTTGATAGTCGGTAGACTGAAGTTTAGTTGCGCTTTGTCATGTTCTACACTTTTGTTTTTAATTTACCCAGGTGACACTGATGTCGACTGGTGTTGGCACCGTTTAATGTCGTTATTTATTAGAACAAATAATTGTCTACCTGGCCAAATTGTGTATTCTTCCGGAATTGTATTGTATTCTTCTTCTTCTTCAGTGGGGTTATCGGCGGTTGGCATTTCCGTAATTGTCGAATTCGAACCCACCTTTTCCCTTTTTTTGTGTTTTCTCAACGACAACTTTACCCCCTCCCACAATCTCACCTGAGCCCCTCCCACAAACAGTATCCAAAAATAGTATGAAATGGTTATCATTGGTAGGCTATAAGATGCAAATGCAATAGTTTATGTAGGTTATTTGCAGACACGATTAAGTAGGTATAAGATTGGTTTCACTGTAATTATTATACATTCTCATTAGCCATCAAATAAGTATTTCAAAGAGGAAGTCCGAAGCGTTACAGCGCCTACGCAGTAATTTACGCACGTGCGCTCGAGTAGAAAAGCTGTCGAATTCACCCCATTTCACCTGATGGGAAGTGGATGGTTATTAACTTGCTTATTAACTTGCGGCTCTTTTGAAGAACGAGGTAACAACTAATGCAAACCATTCGCTGACCTTTCATGCTAAAACATAAGTTGTTTTTACCTGTATTCTTAGTGCATTCATCATTGATTAGCTACATTTCAGCTTTGTGCAACCAATTTCGGAGCAGGTGTACTTACGAGATAGTTCCCACTTATATGGCTAAATCGCATTGGGGGTACGTTAATTGTTTTACAGCTAGTGACATCACCATCACCGTCTCGTGTTTTAACACTTTTCTTACAACGTATGATCCACGATGGTGCTTATTATAATGTTACAATGTTGCCATATGTATTACAGATTTGCAGAACAACACTCAACCCAAGAAGGATGACTGATCCTCGGACAAACACGAGGAATGCAACCGGTACTTTCATTTGTCTTCCTCCTCCGAATAGGCTGTTGTTATTTTACAAAATTACTGCATTTACTTTGGAAATGTTTAAAAGCAGGGTTAGCTTACTCTCAAGGGACTTCCATTTAAATAGTTTATTTATCAAATTACAATTTTTTATTGCGTGTCACTCATGTGTCACTACCATTGACTGTGGTCCCTAAAGGTCTGTATAATGTTGTGGATGAATATGAAGTCTCCTTCCCCTTTGAGGAGAACCTGGACCGGTCTGCCTATCTGAACCAGAGTGAGCAGATTTTGGAAGGTACATTTGGGCACCAGTCACACCATTTTACCTGTCTCTCATACAGAATACTAGCAAGTTAAGCAACCCCTTATAAATGTGTTCTCCTATCATGGCAATATCAGATAGTTCAGGGCTACTCAAACCCGAACAACGTGATCTACAGTTTATTGATTGTCATTAATTGGATATAAATTCCATTCACCTGGAGGGTGGAGGTAATTAAACTACCATCCCTTATTAATAGGGCCCTGCATAATCACCTCTTGATACCTTAATCAACTCAATTAATCATGTAATTATGGTGTCATAAGTCAGGTGGTCAATAACTTCTCAGGGCCTAACCATGAGGTATGACCAATGCCTCAAATAGTCAAATAATGAACTGCACTAATCCCCCTTCCAGAGTCTGCTTCCGAAATGCCTCCGCACTACAGCCCGTTCATGCTGATCACCAACCTGCGCACCCACCTGTGTGTATCCCTGGAGAAGAATTCGTGGCTGCAGAAGCGCATCGAGGACCTGGAGGAGGAACGCAACTTCCTGCGCTGCCAGCTGGAACGCTTTGTCTCATCCATGAGGACCCCGGAGAGCAACCGTAAATACTTTTTTTTGGGGGGGAGCACTTTTCTACTGACTTCCCACTGGGCACAGATGTCAATTCAACATCTATTCCAGGTTGGTTCAACGTCATTTAGTTGAACAACGTGGAAACAACGTTGATTCAACCGGTGTGTGCCCAGTGGGTTAGTACTTGACTGTACTGCTTCAATTGAAGCACTGTTTCTTGAACCTCAACTTGTTGCCTCAAAATTATCTAGTCACACATTCTAGTTAGTGCACTGTTTGGGAACATAATACAAGTGAATACACAACTATATAGGCTGATACATGGAGAGAGGTGAAATGGGACTCCATTAAAAATCTATTATCCTCTCCCCTCTTTATTAGATTTTTATCCTGAATCCCAGCACACTAGTCTGAACTACACTACTCTGAAACCTCCACCAGAGAGAGCTCCAAGCCCTCCTCCTTCACCAATGACCACCAGGTCTGGAATGCTACGGAAACACGTCCAGAGCCAACCTCACACATGTAGCAGCAGAGTACCTGGTGAGAGGGAAGCAGAATAGATTTAGGGTGGGATGGCTTTTTAGGAGTGGGAGAATCATACAGCTTAAGCTAGGCTTTAGTGTCAACTGTCATCTAGTGTCTTGAAGTGTATGTGGATACATTTTCTCACTCCCCCCCCCCCCCCCCCCCCCTTCTCCCCAGTAAAACAGGAGGTGCGTGTGATCGAAGAAGATAAGTACTTTGAGGAAGATGGTTATATGGAGGAAGAGGAAGTGGAAGAGGAAGACGATTCATCGGACGAGAAGATGTCCAAGAAAAAGGGATCCAAGAATGGTGGGGAGCCAAGAATGAAAATGAGACGGGTTTTCCGGATCACTCGGGGCAAGGAAAGACAAAGAGGTAACCAAGTCATAGTTTATTGCTCTGTTATTTCCTATGCCCAGTGCATTTGTCAGCTGCGTCATAATATTCAATTGTATGTTGTAAAAAATTGTTTCCTTGTTATCACACTTTTGGGGGAAATTCCTATCAACTGCTAACAAAATGGCTCCTCTCTCCTTCAGTGAAAGACCCTGACGGTGTGCTCCATCGGTACCAGAAGATCCTCCTCACCTACCAGCGCCTGAGGAGCATGTCCAAGGCCTTCCAGATCCACCGGGTGGACCGCAACACTATGGCCTCCACCTCCCCCATCGCCGAGATGCTGCTGATAGCCCCAGAGAAGGTGGCCGAGGTGGGCGAGTTTGAGTCTTCCAAGGAGAAGCTCCTGGACTACGCCCGCCGCTGCTACAAGGCCCTGGACGAGCCCATGCACGCCAAAGTGGCAGCCATGAAGAAGAACCACCTGCTTCTGCCCATCTCCTACAGGTTCAGAAACTAATGGAGGGTCCTTTCCTCCTATAAGTTTAGACATGAAGGGAAGGTAGACTGAAAAGTTATTGAACTTCATGGGGAGTCACTTACCAAAGGCTATAAGGCTTCGGTAAGAGCCATTTGGCTCTAGCTTCAGAATAGTTTTGTATTATTATTATTTTTTTTACCTCTGTGCTTGAAATATCTTATTCATTGTCCCAAGTGGAAATTGTGGTTGAATAATTTTCTGACTGGCTAATTGCAGGATTACTGCATTGGGGGCACCGAGAGGAGTATTTTTTTTTTTTTTGAGAGAGAGATATCTGTTCTCCCATAAATTGTTTGCAAGGAAGGAGAGATGGAATTTGTGTAAGAAAGGTTTGTAGTCTGTCACTGTATTAACTAAATGCCACACACTGGATAATTTTGTGATGTAGCCTATTACAGCAGTTACTTAGAAAAATAGTGTTGGCTCCATCCTGAGTCATCCACTGGTTAGACATGCTGTTTATGGTAATTGGATTAAGTTTTTAGTCTTTGACTCATGGCTATCTATCTTTCATTCAGTCAGATGGCGCAGCAGAATGATGATCTGCGGTGTGAGTTGCTGCATGATTCATGAATGGTAGAAGCACTGACATATTGCAGACACTGTATTCCTTCCTTTGAGAGCCCTACTAGTTTTTGTAGATGACTGCCATTCAGATAAATATTTTCTACAAGTTTGCGGAGTCCAAATGAATGGAAAATGTGAAGAATTTGAGCATACATCAAATGTGTTTTTGATGGTAAAGAAAGTTAATGGACAGGCACACCATTCTGAGCCGTGGGTTTAAAGAAACTCCACCTGTACATGTATTTATTTGTTTTCATTGTTGAACCATTTGTTAATACCTGATCCACAGCTACAATATTTGTTGTTTATTAATTTATGTATTATTTATTAAAATTTTCTTTACACATTTCGATAGTATATTGAGGTCAGTGAAAGCAGTGTAACCCATCTGCTGTACAATAAAAAAAAAAAACATTGTTTGCGCAAAATGCAGTTGTGTTCTGTCTTCCTAGATATTACATTTATCAGAAATGTGCCTGTCTTTATAACTGGCCTCTGAACAATGTTCCAGAATTCCTCTGCTCAGCACACACTAGATCAGTATTATTCCATTCCGACAGAGGGCGTCCTTCTAATTTCCTGTGTCCAGTCTTGATTCGAACAAGCTGTGTTTATTTGTAGCCTTGGTAGCTAAGCTAACAAGATAGGTTATTAAATCTAGGTCCAAAATGTCGGATTTTGATGAATTCGAGAGACTGTTGACTGAAAATAAGAAAGGTGAGTTGTTGCACATTCATCCTACAGTAATAGTTAATTTTACTTGCTAGCTCCTAGAGATTATTATAGCTAGCATACCGGTAGCTCGTTGTCACTACGTTGCCGTTAGCTAGCTGCTTGCACACTAGGCCTATGATTTGTTTACCAAAACAAAATGACACAGACAGACTCACATGCTTGCACGTCTGCTCGCAATGTACAACAAATGGAACTGAACGCTAGCTATCACAGAATCTGCCTTGATTATTATTATTTTTTTTACATTGGGACCTTTCCATGACTTTTGCTGCTATTAACTGCACCACGCTCACCATCAGTTAGCTTATATAAAGGGTACTGTACCAGGACACATTTATGCAATGTAGAATCAGGGAATAGTGTTACAGATATGCCTACAGATGTGCTTTCTCTGTATGTTGATAGAGTGAATGGCAATTGCCTTTGAACTCCTCTAACGTTAGCTATAACAGGAGGAGAAGTATATACTTGTGCTTATGACTGTTTTTTAAAAGGTTTTCTCTCCTGCTGCAACTAAGGGATCCTGTGACTTTGTCACTGTGACTCTCCCCTGCTCGCCTCCTCTTCCTCCCTCTTTCCCCCTTCAGAGCGGGACAAGGAGAATTGGCACGGGAGGCGCACCCCGTCCCGCAGTCTCAGCCGAGAGAGGAAGAAGAGGAGCAGGGAAAGGAGGAAGAGCAGGGAAAGCCGCAGCGACAGCAAGGACCGTCGTCGACACAGGCGCAGGTGGATACTGTATTTGAAATTAGATGCACTTCCATTTTGTTTGAATAGTTGTCTGCTTTGTGGATCATTGACTAGTTTAAACTATTTTACGCAATAGTAAACGGAATACCCTTGTTTTAACTGTCATTTCAGCACACCGACTCAAAAACAATCCCAAGAGACTGTTGTGAGGTACAGTGTTACAGCAGACAGTGACGTGCATGACACCGTCAAAGTTTAACTGCTAATTATGAGTCAGCTGTCCATCTGTTGGTTAAGTAATGTACTTGGTGGTTGTTGAGTATGCTAATGTTAGAATGGCTTCTTAATAAAAAGGTCAAGGTAAGGGGAGACGACTTGGATCTATAATTGTCATAAAGGCTTGCTTTGAAATCAGGGCTTATATTATGGTTAATGTCTGATGTTTAAACCGTATACAAATGGGAGCATGTAGATGCCAGGTAGATATAATTCTAAGAGGAATGTGTTATAATTATCAATCCAAAATGTTTTTTTTAAATACCCCATTGATTCCCATACTTTTGTGCTATTCATTGACCTCTGTCCACACAGTCTCTGCATTGCAAGGCTATATGTCCATATCCTGTCCCCTCCTGTCTCTCTCCTGCAGTCGCTCTCTAGCTCTGTACAGAGAGAAGAAGAAGAAAGTGAGGAAGTACTGGGATGTCCCGGCACCAGGCTTTGAGCATATCACCCCCCTACAGTACAAGGCTATGCAGGGTCAGTTTGTCAGTACTCACTATAATAGTGTCACATCACAGTCCGTATTATGCTTGCTCAAAAGCAAAGGCTGTTGATGCGATATTGTATGAAGGTATTAAACTCAGTCCCTTTCTCACATCATACATATACATACAGTGGGGAAAAAATATATTTAGTCAGCCACCAATTGTGCAAGTTCTCCCACTTAAAAAGACGAGAGGCCTGTAATTTTCATCATAGGTACACGTCAACTATGACAGACAAATTGAGAAATTTCTTTCCAGAAAATCACATTGTAGGATTTTTAATGAATTTATTTGCAAATTATGGTGGAAAATAAGTATTTGGTCACCTACAAACAAGCAAGATTTCTGGCTCTCACAGACCTGTAACTTATTTTTTAAGAGGCTCCTCTGTCCTCCACTCGTTACCTGTATTAATGGCACCTGTTTGAACTTGTTATCAGTATAAAAGACACTTGTCCACAACCTCAAACAGTCACACTCCAAACTTCACTATGGCCAAGACCAAAGAGCTGTCAAAGGACACCAGAAACAAAATTGTAGACCTGCACCAGGCTGGGAAGACTGAATCTGCAATAGGTAAGCAGCTTGGTTTGAAGAAATCAACTGTGGGAGCAATTATTAGGAAATGGAAGACATACTAGACCACTGATAATCTCCCTCGATCTGGGGCTCCACACAAGATCTCACCCCGTGGGGTCAAAATGATCACAAGAACGGTGAGCAAAAATCCTAGAACCACACGGGGGGACCTAGTGAATGACCTGCAGAGAGCTGGGACCAAAGTAACAAAGCCTACCATCAGTAACACACTACGCCGCCAGGGACTCAAATCCTGCAGTGCCAGACGTGTCCCCCTGCTTAAGCCAGTACATGTCCAGGCCCGTCTGAAGTTTGCTAGAGTGCATTTGGATGATCCAGAAGAGGATTGGGAGAATGTCAGATGAAACCAAAATATAACTTTTTGGTAAAAACTCAACTCGTCGTGTTTGGAGGACAAAGAATGCTGAGTTGCATCCAAAGAACACCATACCTACTGTGAAGCATGGGGGTGGAAGCATCATGCTTTGGGGCTGTTTTTCTGCAAAGGGACCAGGACGACTGATCTGTGTAAAGGAAAGAATGAATGGGGCCATGTATCGTGAGATTTTGAGTGAAAACCTCCTTCCATCAGCAAGGGCATTGAAGATGAAACGTGGCTGGGTCTTTCAGCATGACAATGATCCCAAACACACCGCCCGGGCAACGAAGGAGTGGCTTCGTAAGAAGCATTTCAAGGTCCTGGAGTGGCCTAGCCAGTCTCCAGATCTCAACCCCATAGAAAATCTTTGGAGGGAGTTGAAAGTCCGTGTTGCCCAGCGACAGCCCCAAAACATCACTGCTCTAGAGGAGATCTGCATGGAGGAATGGGCCAAAATACCAGCAACTGTGTGTGAAAACCTTGTGAAGACTTACAGAAAACGTTTGACCTGTGTCATTGCCAACAAAGCGTATATAACAAAGTATTGAGAAACTTTTGTTATTGACCAAATACTTATTTTCCACCATAATTTGCAAATAAATTCATAAAAAATCCTACAATGTGATTTTCAGGATTTTTTTCTCCTAATTTTGTCTGTTATAGTTGACGTGTACCTATGATGAAAATTACAGGCCTCTCTCATCTTTTTAAGTGGGAGAACTTGCACAATTGGTGGCTGACTAAATACTTTTTTCCCCCACTGCAAATATATAGTCATGCGTACAAAACTGAGTGTACAAAACATTAGGAACACCTTCTTAATATTGCGTTGCTCCCCCCTCTCCCCCTCGAATGTCCTTTGGGTGGTGGACCATTCTTGATACACACGGGAAACTGTTGAGCTTGAAAAGCACACTAGCGTTGCAGTTCTTGACACAAACCGGTGCACCTGGCACCTACTACCATACCCCGTTCAAAGGCACTTTTTCTTTTGTCTTGCCCATTCACCCTCTAAATGGCACACATACACAATCCATGTCTCAGGGCTTAAAAAGTATTCTTTAATCTGTCTCCTCCCCTTCATCTACACTGATTGACGTGGCTCTAACAAGTGACATCAATAAGGAATCATAGCTTTCATCTGGATTCACCTGGTCAGTCTATATCATAGAAAGAGCAGGTAGTCAGTATTTCTTCTCCGTTGGACTCATATCTAATGTTCCTCTCTCAGCTGCTGGCCAGATCCCAGCCACGGCCCTGCTGCCCACCATGATAACCCCAGAGGGGCTGGCCTCAACCCCCACCTCTGTACCCGTAGTGGGCAGCCAAATGACCAGGCAGGCCAGGAGGCTTTACGTAGGCAACATACCGTTTGGCATCACAGAGGTAGGTAATGGGGAGCTGCTACCCTTTCCACACCGCTGAGCAGAGCCAAGCTGAGCATTACTGCACTGGCCTGGTTAAGCATTCACCATAGTTGCAGGACAGTACGGTTCGGGTTGGCATGATGGTGTGAAAAGGGTATATAATTCACATGAAGCAGACTGACGTTTTTTTCCAATCTTTACTAATGACTTGCCACTGGCTCTGAGTAAAGCCTGTGTGTCTATGTATGCTGATGACTCAACACTATACACATCAGCTACCACAGCAAGTGAAATCACTGCAACAGTTGACAAAGAGCTGCAGTGTGCCCTAATGAACACGACACAGATTTATCAATTTCAGATCCAGTTACAGTACCTATGATTGGGTGAATAATATATGCAATGCATCCAATCTAATGTAGCTGAACAAAAATATAAACGCAACATGTAAAGTCTTGGTCCCATGTTTCATGAGCGGAAATAAAATTTCCTCAACATTTTCCATACCCACAAAAGCTTATTTCTCTCAAATGTTGTGCACAAATTTGTTTACATCCCTGTTAGTGAGCATTTCTCCTTTGTCACGATAATCCATCCACTTGACAGGTGTGGCCTACCAAGAAGCTGATTATGATCATTACACAGGTGCACCTTGTGCTGGGGACAATAAAAGGCCACTCTAAAATGTGCAGTTTTGTCACACAACACAACGCCACAGATGTCTCAAGTTTTGAGGGAGCGTGCAATTGGCATGCTGACAGCAGGAATGTCCACCAGAGCTGTTGCCAGAGAATTTAATGTTCATTTCTCTACCATAAGCCGCCTCCAACGTCTTTTTAGGAAATTTGGCAGTTATGAGATCCTGAGGCCCATTGTTGTGCCATTCATCCGGCGCCATTACCTCATGTTTCAGCATGATAATGCACGGCCCTATGTTGCAAAGATCTGTACACAATTCCTGGAAGTTGAAAATGTCCCAGTTCTTCCATGGCCTGCATACTCACCAGACATGTCACCGATTGAGCATGTTTGGGATGCTCTTGATCAACGTGTACGACAGCGTGCTCCAGTTCCCGCCAATATCCAGCAAGTTCGCACATCCATTGAAGAGGAGTGGGGCAACATTCCACAAGCCACAATCAACAGCCTGATCAACTCTATGCGAAGGAGACGTGTCGCGTTGCATGAGGCAAATGGTGGTTTTCTGATCCACGCCCCTACTTTTTTTAAAGGTACAGTGAGGGAAAAAAGTATTTGATCCCCTGCTGATTTTGTACATTTGCCCACTGACAAAGAAATTATCAGTCTATAATTTTAATGGTAGATTTATTTGAACAGTGAGAGACAGAATAACGACAAAAAAATCCATGTCAAACATTTTATAAATTGATTTGCATTTTAATGAGGGAAATAAGTATTTGACCCCTCTGCAAAACATGACTTAGTACTTGGTGGCAAAACCCTTGTTGGCAATCACAGAGGTCAGACGTTTCTTGTAGTTGGCCACCAGGTTTGCACACATCTCAGGAGGGATTTTGTCCCACTCCTCTTTGCAGATCTTCTCCAAGTCATGAAGGTTTCGAGGCTGACGTTTGGCAACTCGAACCTTCAGCTCCCTCCACAGATTTTCTATGGGATTAAGGTCTGGAGACTGGCTAGGCCACTCCAGGACCTTAATGTGCTTCTTCTTGAGCCACTCCTTTGTTGCCTTGGCCATGTGTTTTGGGTCATTGTCATGCTGTAATACCCATCCACGACCCATTTTCAATGCCCTGGCTGAGGGAAGGAGGTTCTCACCCAAGATTTGACGGTACATGGCCCCGTCCATCGTCCCTTTGATGCGGTGAAGTTGTCCTGTCCCCTTAGCAGAAAAACACCCCCAAAGCATAATGTTTCCACCTCCATGTTTGACGGTGGGGATGGTGTTCTTGGGGTCATAGGCAGCATTCCTCCTCCTCCAAACACGGCGAGTTGAGTTGATGCCAAAGAGCTCCATTTTGGTCTCATCTGACCACAACACTTTCACCCAGTTCTCCTCTGAATCATTCAGATGTTCATTGGCAAACTTCAGACGTGCATGTATATGTGCTTTCTTGAGCAGGGGGACCTTGCGGGTGCTGCAGGATTTCAGTCCTTCACGGCGTAGTGTGTTACCAATTGTTTTCTTGGTGACTATGGACCCAGCTGCCTTGAGATCATTGACAAGATCCTCCCGTGTAGTTCTGGGCTGATTCCTCACCGTTCTCATGATCATTGCAACTCCACGAGGTGAGATCTTGCATGGAGCCCCAGGCCGAGGGAGATTGACAGTTATTTTGTGTTTCTTCCATTTGCGAATAATCGCACCAACTGTTGTCACCTTCTCACCAAGCTGCTTGGCAATGGTCTTGTAGCCCATTCCAGCCTTGTGTAGGTCTACAATCTTGTCCCTGACATCCTTGGAGAGCTCTTTGGTCTTGGCCATGGTGGAGAGTTTGGAATCTGATTGATTGATTGCTTCTGTGGACAGGTGTCTTTTATACAGGTAACAAACTGAGATTAGGAGCACTCCCTTTAAGAGTGTGCTCCTAATCTCAGCTCGTTACCTGTATAAAAGACACCTGGGAGCCAGAAATCTTTCTGATTGAGAGGGGGTCAAATACTTATTTCCCTCATTAAAATGCAAATCAATTTATAACATTTTTGACATGCGTTTTTCTGGATTTTTTTGTTGTTATTCTGTCTCACTGTTCAAATAAACCTACCATTAAAATTATAGACTGATAATTTCTTTGTCAGTGGGCAAACATACAAAATCAGCAGGGGATCAAATACTTTTTTCCCTCACTGTATCTGTGACCAACAAATGCATGTTGTATTCCTAGTCATGTGAAATCCATAGATAAGGGCCTAATGAATTTATTTCAATTAGCTGATTTCCTTAAATGAACTGCAACTCTGTAAAATCTTTGAAATTGTTGCATGTTGTGTTTATATTTTTGTTCAGTGTAGCTGATTGGACATGAGGCCTAAGATACAGTTAAAGACTAACGCATCAACCCTATGAGATATGGTTAAAAATAACTCTGTGCATTTCATCATCACTACTGTGTCATAGAATCAGCCTGGTCGAGAGCCTTCTACATACTTCTGCCTTCCCCACTGCAAAATGTTTAAGTGATTGTGCATGTTGTGTCAATAGGAGGCAATGATGGATTTCTTCAACGCCCAGATGCGCCTCGGCGGACTCACCCAGGCCCCTGGCAACCCTGTTCTAGCTGTGCAGATAAACCAGGACAAGAACTTTGCCTTCCTCGAGGTGTGTGCTCAAGTAAAATGTATTTAATATAAAAATGAAATAGCATAAAATACATGTAGATCATGGATGGCAGTTATTAGCTAACTTGCATTGCCCGCTAACAGTTGCCGTCCTGAGTACTGAAGTATCGTTGAGTTCTGCATGCTTCTACAATAGCACGTCATAATGTTGACCTTCTCTCTACCTGTTCCTCTTCCAGTTCCGCTCGGTGGATGAGACGACCCAGGCCATGGCCTTTGACGGCATCATCTTCCAGGGTCAGAGCCTGAAGATCAGACGGCCTCACGACTACCAGCCCCTGCCCGGCATGAGTGAGAGCCCCTGTGTCTATGTACCAGGTGGGTCTTTCCATAGGAAATCAATGGATTCTTGACCCAGTTGAATCCTCTGATTTCAGTTAAAATGTTCTTAACCCTATTTCCCACTGTTGCATTGATTAGGAGTGGTTTCGACCGTGGTGCCAGACTCAGCCCACAAACTCTTCATCGGTGGCTTGCCAAATTATCTTAATGATGATCAGGTCAGTCCTTTCTAACTTATTGATGTCCTTCTTTCTAAGTCTATAGCATGATCAATACATTTTATACTACTGTTTATTTTTGTCAATCGTCAAGGTTGAGAATAATTTGTTTTAGTTCAGACAATGTTACTGGTAGAGCAATCTATCCCTTCATATTATTTTGTTCATTGTTTGTGTTTTCCTGTCTTCGTCCCACTAGGTAAAAGAGCTATTGACCTCCTTTGGCCCTCTGAAGGCCTTCAACCTGGTCAAAGACAGCGCCACAGGCCTCTCCAAGGGCTACGCCTTCTGTGAATATGTGGACGTCAATTTGAACGACCAGGTCAGTGTCAGATATTGCACCTGTATTTCTGTATGCAATATGTTTCTTGTTATAGACTTGAGGTTAACATAAGGTCATAGACTCTTGGGCTGCATGTCAATAGTACAAAGTGTCTACCCTGTCTGTCTTCTTTCATCCACACTGATCTGATATACCTGCCCAGGTGAAAGCCAACCTCATAGTAGTCTTCTTCCATATTGCTTTCACCCATCCAGCCTTTGCAGATCAGTGCTGTTGTAGGAAAGGAGATGTGGATAGGAAGCACATTTTGACTATTGAGACGCATCCCTCTGTTCTACCTCTGTTTACTGTCTCAGGCAATTGCAGGGTTGAATGGGATGCAGCTGGGGGACAAGAAGCTCCTGGTACAGAGAGCCAGTGTTGGGGCCAAGAACGCAGCTCTGGTGAGTACCAGAGATGATAGACTACAAGTAGAGGCACACTTTACAACTGGGTGCTGTTCAAAAGGAGCAAACAGGAGAAAACGTTTCGAAATGGAAGACAGAATGAGGATTTTTTTAAATATATTTTTGGGTAAGTTAGGAGCTAACTATCCCCTCTTTTTCTAAATGTTCTCTCACGTTTTGTGCCTTACTGCAGGGGTTCCCAAATTTTCACTCCGGCCCCCCTTCCAGCATTGGGGAACATCCTGCGTCCTCTCTGCACACGAGCGCCACATCTATTTCTATGGGCACAAGCACTGTTCATAACACAAACTAATAACAAACACCCCTCTTGTTGGCTGAGACAACATTTTGAAGGTTTAAAGCTTATTTCCTGCAATTCTATACATTTTGCCATGCCTAATGGCTATTAAAAAAACCTAGCTAAAAAATGTTAGCTGACATGGGCTAGTTGATCTGAAGTTATAAATAGCTCTCTAAGGCAGGGTTTGCCAAACTCGGTCCTAGGGCCCCCCATGGGTGCACATTTTGGTTTTTGCCCTAGCATTACACAGCTGATTCAAATAAACAACTCATCATCAAGCTTTGATTATTTAATCAGCTGTGTAGTGCTAGGGCAAAAAACAAAACTTGCATCCAGGGGGGGGCCCCAGGAACAAGTTTGGGAAACCTTGCTTTAAGGCAGGGTTCTTCAATTCCGGTCCTGGAGGGCCGAAACACTTGTTTTTTATTTCTACCTGGTAGGTAATTGCACTCACCTGGTGTCCCAGGTCTGAATTAGCCCCTGATTAGAAGGAGAGGATGAAAAACAGAGGTGTTTCGGCCCTCCAGGACCAGAATTGAAGAACCCTGCTTTAAGGTATGCAATGACTGACATGACAAGAGGAAAACTGATGATTCACTACCCAATTTCAAAATTGCACCTTGTGCATTCTACTATTACAATTTTCAAGAGTAAGTTGAAAGCACTGAGATTTTTTAAATATATATTGTGGCAGATCAGACAGAGTATGATTAGCTCGGTTTCAAGGGTGTTTATTAATACAATAATCAAAAGAAAAGGTTAGGTCTCCCCCATGAGATCCTCTCCAGGATACCGTCTCCAACTACACGGAAGTTACCTTACTTCCCCCAGTCCTCTCTCATGTGCTGCCCTTCTGGCAGCTTTATGGGCGTTGCACAGCTGGTGAGCAATCCGCCCTTAATTACTCACCAGCTCCCAATCAGCCCCAATTAGTCTTGTCTGGGGAGCCAGTCGAGACCTGGCACGTCCAGCAGATAGAGCCACCGCCTCGTGATGTATACTCCATCTGTTACCAGGCCTCGATGAGTCTCCCCCTGGTGGCTGACCTGCTGTACGCCCCCCCCCCCCCCCCCCCCTTAGCTCTGTCGGGAAGGGGATGGTCATCAGTGCAACGTCTGTCTCCCTTCTCGATAGGGCATCCGCGTTTCCATGCTTCGCCCCTGACCTGTGCACAACAGAGAAAGAGAAGCGTTGAAGGGACAAGAACCACCTGGTGACCCGATTGTTTGTGTCTTTTCCCCTGGCCATCCAGACCAGGGGAGCATGGTCCGTGACAAGGGTGAAGTGGGTACCTAACAGGTAATACTTGAGTGTCTAGCGCCCACTTCACCGCCAGACACTATTTCTCAACAATTGAATCTTTTTTTATCTCTGTATCAGCTTTCGGCTGATGTACATGATGGGGTGCTCCTCCCCATCGTGTATCTGGGACAGAAGGCCCCTAGTCCCGTATATAATGCATCTGTCTGGACCACCATCGGCACCTGGAAATCGGGCGTTACGAGAATCGGATGGGAGCACAGCGCTTCCTTCAGGTGGCTGAACACCGCTTCTGTCTCGTCCGTCCATTTCACTGTTTTCGGGAGGCGGGCCCTGGTTAGATCGGTGAGGGGGGAAGCCTTAGCCGCAAAGTTGGGGATAAACCGGCTATAGTATCCTGCCAGTCCCAGGAAGGACGTGACCTGTGTCTTGGTGCGTGGAACGGGCCAGTCACGTACCGCGTGAACCTTCCTCTCCTGGGGCTTGACGTTCCCCTGTCCGATCAAATACCCCTGGTACTCCACCTCCTCGAACACTGGCTTGCATTTCTTGGGGTTTGCGGTCAACCCGGCTTGTCTGAGCGCGTCCAGCACCGCCTGGAGGCGCGTCAGGTGCTCCTCTCAACCTTGGCTGTGGATGATGATATCATCCAGATAGGCTGCTGCGTACTGCTGGTGGGGGTTGAAGCACTCTGTTCATCAGTCGCTGGAATGTGGGCGGGGCTCCGTGGAGACCGAACGGGAGCACCCGGTACTGGTACAGACCATCTGGTGTCGAGAACGCCGTCTTCTCCCGGGAGGAGGCTGCCAATGGTATCTGCCAATATCCTTTGGTCAGGTCAAGGGTGCTGATGTACTGGGCCTTTCCCAACCGGTCGATTAGCTCGTCCACCCTCGGCATGGGGTAGGCGTCGAATATGCTTATGTCGTTCACACATCGGAAATCATTACAGAAGCGGAGGCTACCGTCCGGTTTGGGCACCAACACGATGGGGCTGCACCAGGCACTGTGGGACTCTTCAACGACCCCCATCCTCAGCATAGCCTCCACTTCTTGTTTCACAGCCTTCCGTCGGGCCTCCTGAATTCGAAACGGCCTCTTTCTTACCGTTTCCCCGGGCCAGGTACGGATGTGGTGTTCAATGAGTGTCGTGCGGCCCGGTTTCTCTGAGAACACCGCCGTGTTCCGATCGACAAGCTCACGGAGCTCTTGCTTCTGGGCCGGGCGAGGTCCTCACTGCTCAGGACCACCACTGGTACCGTTGGCGTCCTGGGTCCCGACCATAACACGGCCAAGGCTGTCCTCTCGTGCCACTTCTTCAACAGGTTCACGTGGTAAATCTGTTGAGATTTCCGTCTACCCGGTTGCCGTACGTGGCAGTTGACAGGTCCCAGTTTCTCGACCACCTCGTATGGTCCGTGCCATGTTGCCAGGAACTTACTTTCGGCCGTGGGGATCAACACCAACACCCTGTCTCCCACCTGGAATTCTCGGGACTGGGCTCCCTGATTGTAGACCTGGGCGCGTTGGGCCTTCTCCATATGTTCCCTCACTACTGGCCATATGGCTGTCATCCGCTCCCGCACGTCTCCACTTGCTCTACTACGCTGCGTAAGGGGGTCGGTTGGGCTTCCCACACCTCCTTGGCGAGGTCCAGTAGGCCACGTGGCCTCCTCCCGTAGAGGAGTTCAAACGGGGAAAACCCAGTGGAGGATTGGGTACTTCTCGGATTGAAAACATTAGGTGGGGTAGCAGCTGGTCCCAGTTCTTCCCGTCCTGCTCGATGACCTTCCGCAGCATCTGTTTGAGCGTTTTGTTAAAGCGCTTGACGAGCCCATCCGTCTGCGGGTGAAAAACAGAGGTCCGGATCTGCTTGATCTGCATGAGGGCACACAACTCTTTCATGAGGCGGGACATAAACTCTGTACCTTGGTCTGTCAGGATCTCGTTCGGGATGCCCACCCGGCTAAAGAGGTGGAACAGCTCCCGGGCGATTCCCTTGGATACCGCCGCCCGTAGGGGAATGGCCTCGGGATACCAGGTGGCATAGTCTACTATTACCAAGATGTACCTGTGTCCTCGTGCAGTCTTTACCAGGGGTCCCACTATGTCCATGGCGATGCGTTCAAAGGGCACCCCGATGATCGGCAGTGGGACCAGAGGGTTTCGGAAGTGTGCTTTCGGGCAATGAGTTGACACTCCGGGCAGCTGCGACAGTAGTCTTCTACAGCCCTCCTCATCCCGGGCCAGTGGAACCGGGCGGCAACCCGTTCCCGGGTCTTCGCCATTCCCAGGTGCGCCCCCAACAGGTGAGGTGGGCCAGCTGAAGAACAGTTCCTACGTACCATTGGGGCAGCAACAATACCTCTCGAAGTTCCCCCTGTTGGCGCAACACCTGATACAAAAGGTTATTCTTAATTTGGAAATGGGTGTATCGCCAGTCACTCACCCCCTGTCCATCCACCGCTATCACTTGGGCTGCGGAAGCTTTCAAATTCGGATCCTCCCACTGGGCCGTCCCGAATTGTCCCCTCAGTTGGCCCCCAACGGGGGTCTCAACTGGCCCCTCGAAATCGAAGGGGGAGACTGGGCTCCTCCTCCAGTGGTTCCCCACGGGGTTCGGGTTCCGGCTCCCCCTCTGAGAGTCAGGTTGGTTAACCGGTGGGGTCCTGGCCACACAGGCGAGGGGTCTAATAGAGTGTGCAAAGCTGTCATCAAGGCAAAGGGTGGCTATTTGAAGAATCTCAAATATAAAATATATTTTGATATGTTTAACACTTTTTTGGTTACTACATGATTCCATATGTGTTATTTCATAGTTTTGATGTCTTCACTACTATTCTACAATGTATAAAAAAATAAGAAAAATAAGAAAAACCCTTGAATGAGTAGCTGTGTCCAAACTTTTGACTTGTAGTGTATATACAGTGGGGAAAAAAGTATTTAGTCAGCCACCAATTGTGCAAGTTCTCCCACTTAATAAGATGAGAGAGGCCTGTAATTTTCATCATAGGTACATGTCAACTATGACAGACAAAATGAGGGAAAGAAATCCAGAAAATCACATTGTAGGATTTTTAATGAATTTATTTGCAAATGATGGTGGAAAATAAGTATTTGGTCAATAACAAAAGTTTCTCAATACTTTGTTATATACCCTTTGTTGGCAATGACACAGGTCAAACATTTTCCGTAAGTCTTCACAAGGTTTTCACACACTGTTGCTGGTATTTTGACCCATTCCTCCATGCAGATCTCCTCTAGAGCAGTGATGTTTTGGGGCTGTCGCTGGGCAACACGGACTTTCAACTCCCTCCAAAGATTTTCTATGGGGTTGAGATCTGGAGACTGGCTAGGCCACTCCAGGACCTTGAAATGCTTCTTACGAAGCCACTCCTTCGTTGCCCGGGCGGTGTGTTTGGGATCATTGTCATGCTGAAAGACCCAGCCACGTTTCATCTTCAATGCCCTTGCTGATGGAAGGAGGTTTTCACTCAAAATCTCACGATACATGGCCCCATTCATTCTTTCCTTTACACGGATCAGTCGTCCTGGTCCCTTTGCAGAAAAACAGCCCCAAAGCATGATGTTTCCACCCCCATGCTTCACAGTAGGTATGGTGTTCTTTGGATGCAACTCAGCAGTCTTTGTCCTCCAAACACAACGAGTTGAGTTTTTACCAAAAAGTTATATTTTGGTTTCATCTGACCATATGACATTCTCCCAATCCTCTTCTGGATCATCCAAATGCACTCTAGCAAACTTCAGACGGGCCTGGACATGTACTGGCTTAAGCAGGGGGACACGTCTGGCACTGCAGGATTTGAGTCCCTGGCGGCGTAGTGTGTTACTGATGGTAGGCTTTGTTACTTTGGTCCCAGCTCTCTGCAGGTCATTCACTAGGTCCCCCCGTGTGGTTCTGGGATTTTTGCTCACCGTTCTTGTGATCATTTTGACCCCACGGGGTGAGATCTTGCGTGGAGCCCCAGATCGAGGGAGATTATCAGTGGTCTTGTATGTCTTCCATTTCCTAATAATTGCTCCCACTGTTGATTTCTTCAAACCAAGCTGCTTACCTATTGCAGATTCAGTCTTCCCAGCCTGGTGCAGGTCTACAATTTTGTTTCTGGTGTCCTTTGACAGCTCTTTAGTCTTGGCCATAGTGGAGTTTGGAGTGTGACTGTTTGAGGTTGTGGACAGGTGTCTTTTATACTGATAACAAGTTCAAACAGGTGCCATTAATACAGGTAACGAGTGGAGGACAGAGGAGCCTCTTAAAGAAGAAGTTACAGGTCTGTGAGAGCCAGAAATCTTGCTTGTTTGTAGGTGACCAAATACTTATTTTCCACCATCATTTGCAAATAAATTCATTAAAAATCCTACAATGTGATTTTCTGGAGAAAAAAAATCTCAATTTGTCTGTCATAGTTGACGTGTACCTATGATGAAAATTACAGGCCTCTCATCTGGGAGAACATGCACAATTGGTGGCTGACTAAATACTTTTTTCCCCCACTGTGTGTATATATAATATATATATTTATTTATTTTACAGGGGGGAGAGCAAGTATTTGATACACTGCCGATTTTGCAGGTTTTCCTACTTACAAAGCATGTAGAGGTCTGTAATTTTTATCATAGGTACACTTCAACTGTGAGAGACGGAATCTAAAACAAAAATCCAGAAAATCACATTGTATGATTTTTAAGTAATTAATTTGCATTTTATTGCATGACATAAGTATTTGATCACCTACCAACCAGTAAGAATTCCGGCTCTCACAGACCTGTTAGTTTTTCTTTAAGAAGCCCTCCTGTTCTCCACTCATTAACTGCACCTGTTTGAACTCGTTACCTGTATAAAAGACACCTGTCCACACACTCAATCAAACAGACTCCAACCTCTCCACAATGGCCAAGACCAGAGAGCTGTGTAAGGACATCAGGGTTAAATTGTAGACCTGCACAAGGCTGGGATGGGCTACAGGACAATAGGCAAGCAGCTTGGTGAGAAGGCAACAACTGTTGGCGCAATTATTAGAAAATGGAAGAAGTTCAAGATGATGGTCAATCACCCTCGGTCTGGGGCTCCATGCAAGATCTCACCTCGTGGGGCATCAATGATCATGAGGAAGGTGAGGGATCAGCCCAGAACTACACGGCAGGACCTGGTCAATGACCTGAAGAGAGCTGGGACCACAGTCTCAAAGAAAACCATAAGTAACACACTACGCCGTCATGGATTAAAATCCTGCAGCGCACGCCATGTCCCCCTGCTCAAGCCAGCGCATGTCCAGGCCCGTCTGAAGTTTGCCAATGACCATCTGGTTGATCCAGAGGAGGAATGGGAGAAGGTCATGTGGTCTGATGAGACATAAATAGAGCTTTTTGGTCTAAACTCTACTCGCCGTGTTTGGAGGAAGAAGCAGGATGAGTACAACCCCAAGAACACCATCCCAACCGTGAAGCATGGAGGTGGAAACATCATTCTTTGGGGATGCTTTTCTGCAAAGGGGACAGGACGACTGCACCGTATTGAGGGGAGGATGGATGGGGCCATGTATCGTGAGATCTTGGCCTACAACCTCCTTCCCTCAGTAAGAGCATTGAAGATGGGTCGTGGCTGGGTCTTCCAGCATGACAACGACCCGAAACACACAGCCAGGGCTACTAAGGAGTGGCTCCGTAAGAAGCATCTCAGGGTCCTGGAGTGGCCTAGCCAGTCTCCAGACCTGAACCCAATAGAAAATCTTTGGAGGGAGCTGAAAGTCCGTATTGCCCAGCGACAGCCCCGAAACCTGAAGGATCTGGAGAAGGTCTGTATGGAGGAGTGGGCCAAAATCCCTGCTGCAGTGTGTGCAAACCTGGTCAAGACCTACAGGAAACGTATGATCTCTGTATTTGCAAACAAAGGTTTCTGTACCAAATGTTAAGTTCTGCTTTTCTGATGTATCAAATACTTATGTCATGCAATAAAATGCAGATTAATTACTTAAAAATCATACAATGTGATTTTCTGGATTTTTGTTTTAGATTCCGTCTCTCACAGTTGAAGTGTACCTATGATCATTTTACATTTACATTTTAGTCATTTAGCAGACGCTCTTATCCAGAGCGACTTACAGGAGCAATTAGGGTTAAGTGCCTTGCTCAAGGGCACATTAACGTCATTTAGCAGACGCTCTTAGCCAGAGCGACTCACAAATTGGTGCATTCACCCTATAGCCAGTGGGATAACCACTTTACAATTGGGGGGGGGGGGTTGGGGGTAGAAGGATTCCTTTATCCTATCCCAGGTATTCCTTAAAGAGGTGGGGTTTCAAATGTCTCCGGAAGGTGGTGAGTGACTCCGCTGTCCTGGCGTCGTGAGGGAGCTTGTTCCACCATTGGGGTGCCAGAGCAGCGAACAGTTTTGACTGGGCTGAGCGGGAACTATGCTTCCGCAGAGGAAGGGGAGCCAGCAGGCCAGAGGTGGATGAGCGCAATACCCTCGTTTGGGTGTAGGGACTGATCAGAGCCTGAAGGTACAGAGGTGCCGTTCCCCTCACTGCTCCATAGGCAAGCACCATGGTCTTGTAGCGGATGCGAGCTTCAACTGGAAGCCAGTGGAGTGTGCGGAGGAGGGGGGTGACGTGAGAGAACTTGGGAAGGTTGAACACCAGACGGGCTGCGGCATTCTGGATGAGTTGTAGGGGTTTAATGGCACAGGCAGGGAGGCCAGCCAACAGCGAGTTGCAGTAGTCCAGACGGGAGATGACAAGCGCCTGGACCAGGACCTGTGCCGCTTCCTGTGTAAGGCAGGGTCGTACTCCCTGAATGTTGTAGAGCATGAACCTGCAGGAGCGGGTCACCGCCTTGATGTTGGCGGAGAACGACAGGGTGTTGTCCAGGGTCACGCCTAGGCTCTTCGCACTCTGGAAAGAGGACACAGCGGAGTTGTCAACCGTGATGGCGAGATCATGGAACGGGCAGTCCTTCCCCGGGAGGAAGAGCAGCTCCGTCTTGCCAGGGTTCAGCTTGAGGTGGTGATCCGTCATCCATACTGATATGTCTGCCAGACATGCAGAGATGCGATTCGCCACCTGGTTATCAGAAGGGGGAAAGGAGAAGATTAGTTGTGTATCGTCAGCGTAGCAATGATAGGAGAGACCATGTGAGGATATGACAGAGCCAAGTGACTTGGTGTATAGGGAGAAAAGGAGAGGGCCTAGAACTGAGCCTTGGGGGACACCAGTGGTGAGAGCACGTGGTGCGGAGACAGCTTCTCGCCACGCCACTTGGTAGGAGCGACCGGTCAGGTAGGACGCAATCCAGGAGTGAGCCGCGCCGGAGATGCCCAGCTCGGAGAGGGTGGAGAGGAGGATCTGATGGTTCACAGTATCAAAGGCAGCAGACAGGTCTAGAAGGACAAGAGCAGAGGAGAGAGAGTTAGCTTTAGCAGTGCGGAGAGTCTCCGTGACACAGAGAAGAGCAGTCTCAGTTGAATGACCAGTCCTGAAACCTGATTGGTTTGGATCAAGAAGGTCATTCTGAGAGAGATAGCAAGAGAGTTGGCTAAAGACGGCACGCTCAATAGTTTTGGAAAGAAAAGAAAGAAGGGATACTGGTCTGTAGTTGTTGACATCAGTGGGGTCGAGTGTTGGTTTTTTGAGAAGGGGAGTAACTCTCGCTCTCTTGAAGACGGAAGGGACATGGCCAGCGGTCAAGGATGAGTTGATCAGCGAGGTGAGGTAGGGGAGAAGGTCACCGGAGATGGTCTGGAGAAGGGAGGAGGGGATGGGGTCAAGCGGGCAGGTTGTTGGGCGGCCTGCAGTCACAAGTCGCAGGATTTTATCTGGAGAGAGAGGGGAGAAAGAAGTCAAAGCATAGGGTAGGGCAGTGTGGGCAGGACCAGCAGTGTCATTAGACTTAACAAAATGATAAAAATTACAGACCTCTACATGCTTTGTAAGTAGGAAAACCTGCAAAATCGGCAGTGTATCAAATACTTGTTCTCCCCACTATATATATATATATATATATATATATATATTTATTATGTTATTTTTTTCTTCTGTGTTTTTACAACCTAAACATTGTAAAACGTTTTCTAAATGAACCCATGCTCTTTCAACCTTCCCAATCACCAACACCTCTCCCCACCCCCACCAGACGGGTATGAACCAGACCCCGGTGACCCTCCAGGTGCCAGGCCTGATACCCACCTCCATGGCCTCGCTGGGTGGCCTGCCCACTGAGGTGCTCTGCCTGATGAACATGGTGGCTGTGGAGGAGCTGCTGGATGACGAGGAGTACGAGGAGATCGTGGAGGACGTCCGGGATGAGTGCGGCAAGTACGGCCAGGTGAAGAGCATTGAGATCCCCCGGCCTGTGGATGGCCTGGAGGTCCCAGGCACTGGGAAGGTGAGGAGAGCAAGGGGAGGGGTACCTGGGTGTTAGGATGGGATGGGAGGGGAGGGGATGAGATATGTCATGATGCATGGGGGTGTTTGTTGCAGTGATTTGAGAAGAGTTCGTGTTGTGTGTACAGTTTTAAAGTGAATCCGTTCAGTTCAGATTAAATGATTGAATTCCCTAGCCTCCCGAGTGGCGCAGCGGTCTAAGGCACTGAATCGCATTGTTGCAGCAATCACTACAGCCTGGAGTTCGATCCCAGGCTGTGTCATTACCGGCCGTGACCGGGAGTCCCATAGGGCGTCGCACAATTGGCCCAGCGTCGTCCGGGTTAGGAGAGGGTTTGGCCGGGGGGTCTTTACTTGGCTCATCGCGCTGTAGCGACTCCTTGTGGCGTACCGGGCGCCTGCAGGTTGACTGCGTCATCAGTTGAACGGTGTTTCCTCCGACACATTGGTGCAGCTGGCTTCCGGGTTAAGCGAGCGGGTGTTAAGAAGCGTGGTTAGGCGGGTCATGTTTCGGAGGACGCATGACTCGACCTTCGCCTCTCCCGAGACCGTTGGGGATTTGCAGCGATGAGACAAGATCGTAATCACGAAATTGGGGAGAAAAAGGGTTGCTGTAGAATTGCATTTAACATGGTTGTCTGGTTCCATACAGAATGGCTATTCACCTACTCTCCTATCCTTTCTCTCCCTCTCTCAGATCTTTGTGGAGTTCATGACCCTGTTTGACTCCCAGAAGGCCATGCAGGCGCTGACAGGCAGGAAGTTTGCCAACAGGGTGGTGGTGACCAAGTACTGTGACCCAGACGCTTACCACCGCCGAGACTTCTGGTAGACCTGAGAACCAGAGAGTGGGAGAGAAGCAGAGTTTTATGTAATAATATTTATGAGCATCACAACACTCCCAACTTTTTGCATTTAAAAAAAGTGGCGTAGAAAGTTTGAATTTAGCTACTAGAGAGGCAGACTGGATGACTTGTTACAAAGATTATTCCTATATTGTATTATAAGAATGGGAAGTACATTTTGTACAGCAAAGTGGATAATATTGATTTATATGGAGTATTTATTAATTAATTAATTCATCACTTTGATATGAGTAACAGAGGCCTATTGAAGTTCATTAAAGGCCACTTATCATTGTAAAATCAGCAGAATTGGTCAAATTATGACTTTTCTACTATGAATCAAGTTCAATCACGATTTTAACCATTTTATTTTGTCCATGCCTGAGCCTCAGGTGCCAGGTGTTTTGTTATGTTCTAGCTCCCCCACCCATCTTCAGAACATCAACGCCACTTATTGTGAAGTCAGCACTGACTCATGTCTGAGGGGACCTTCAAGTACTGTAAGTGTCTTTGTGTACGTTTAACTTAGCATCACCACCCTCTTTTGATAACAAAACGTCTGAAAATGATGGAATGTGACTTTCTCAGTGGGCAACCGCCATTCCACAGAAAACAATGAGACCTCCAAAATGGCAACTTCTACTCGTTGATCATCCAGTGTGCATTGCTATGGAGACCTTAAAGGCCAGTATATTAACAGGAAGTACCTGCTGAACCAGGCCAGATCCAGAGCCTGTAATAGAAGGCTCTCAACGAGGCTGACGCTATGACACAGTGGTAATGATGAAATGTATATATATTAACCATCTCTCATAGGGTTGTATGCGTTCGTTTTTAACTGTATCTTAGGCCCTATGTCCAATCAGCTACATTAGATTGGATGCACTGCATATATTATTCACCAAATCAGAGGTAATGTAACTGGATAAATCTGTGTCGTGTTCATTAGGGCATACCATAGCAAAATGTGTTGCGACTGAAAAAAATTAATGTGTATTTCTTATTGGACAAGTTCAGGTAGTTCAGATCCCTCCCCGTTTCCTTCAGTTTGGTGCCTAATGAACACGACCCTGAACTCTCTCCCTACACAGCTTCTCTCTCTCTCTCTCTCTCTTTTCTCTTCTCTCTCTCTTCAGAGTTATCAATGCCCTGCCCCGACCCTTGGTTGGTTTTGTAAAACAACATTGACATACAATGTTATTAATTTCACTGTAAAATCATATCTGCAGTTTTTTGTATTACGTTTTTATATGTTAACTTATAAGTTCCTATTTAACCCACTTGATATTTTCACTCTCATGGCTTTGCCTCAAAGTGATATATCTTTACGACCCAAAAAAGGCGTGTGGATATGCATGTGTGAGGCTTTCTGGTGGATGACATGAATTCAGGTTCATGACAGACGATAAAATAGAAAATTGAAGATAATGTAGATAATTTGCAGGCGTGGGTGGGTTCCATTAAAACGATGTGAAGAGTTCAATTACATGCCCCTTTCTTCCACTTCTACTCCTCTTTCCGATTCAATTGTTTCGATTTTCTCTTTACAACAAGGACCACACTTGGAAGAACCTGTCTGCTATTATTTTCCTTTCTATTCCCTTCTCCAAGACTTTCCGTTGCTTCGAATTTCATAATGGACATTTCTTTTGACAGGTTTTGCGTTCCAAATGCTGTAGTCTCCTGAGGATCTTTAGATGATTTGCATTACCAAAGCTTCTCCACATCTGAGATTGTTTGTTGTTTTCCTAAACAGGTTGAAAGATTATGTAAGAGAATGGCTTTGTCTCTGTCCATATACTGTCAACAGGTTAGCAGGTGAGAATTTTTGCGGAACGTCACTTCCCTCTACATTGTAAGGTTGTATTTTTTTGTTTACAGAAGATCTGAGTGATCTCATTAAAACAGATTGAATGTACTATGATGTCTGTCTGATCTGTTTAATGTCTACAGGACATTGAATCAGAATTTGAGTGTGCATGTGGCTCGTCCTTGGTATTTTATGGAGCCAACTATCTGAGATCTGCTCCAAGGCGGAATATTTTTGATGGTGGATGGAAAAGGTGTCATAGAACAGTGTTCAGAGACTCCATATAAAACCAATGTGTATCTAGATGCATGTAATCTCCAAGCTAAAGTTATTGCTGAATTTCTATTACTAGTTCCCAAATGGGCAAAGGCTTGAATCGGTCAGTCTTTAATTTCATAGTGCCACCCAGTGGGGTTGGAAAAAAAGACAATGCCAGCCCAGAGTTCTATTCAGTGAACAACACTGAACAAAAATATAAACGTAACATGTATAGTGTTGGTCCCATGTTTCATGAGTTGAAATAAAAGATCCCAGAAATGTTTCATACGCTCATAAAGGTGCACCATGTGCTGGGGACAACAGGTTCACCTTGTGCTGGGGACAATAAAAGGCCACTCTAAAATGTGTAGTTTTGTCACACAACACAATGCCATAGATGTCTCAAGTTTTGAGGGAGCGCGCAATTGACATGCTGACTGCAGGAATGTCCACCAGAGCTGCTGCCAGAGAATTGAATGTTAATTTCTCTACCATAAGCCACCTCTAAAGTAATATATATAGAGAATTTGGCAGTACGTCCAACTGGCTTCACAACCGCAGACCACGTGTATGGCATCGTGTGGGTGAGCTGTTTGCTGATGTCAGCGTTGTGAACCGAGTGCCCCATGGTGGCGGTGGGGTTATGGTATGGGCAGGCATAAGCTACGGACAACGAACGCAATTGCATTTTATCTATGGTAATTTGAATGCACAGAGATACCGTGACGAGATCCTGAGGCCCATTGTCGTGCCATTCATTCGCCGCTATCACCTCATGTTTCAGCATGATAATGCACGGCCCCATGTCGCAAGAATCTGTACACAATTCCTGGAAGCTGAAAATATCCCAGTTCTTCCATGGTCTGCATACTCACCAGACATGTCAACCATTGAGCATGTTTGGGATGCTATGGATCGACATGTACGACAGCTTGTTCCAGTTCCCGCCAATATCCAGCAAGTTTGCACAGCCATTGAAGAGGAGTGGGACAACATTCCACAGGCCACAATCAACAGCCTGATCAACTTTATGTGAAGGAGATGTGTCGTGCTGCATGAGGCAAATGGTGGTCACACCAGATACTGACTGGTTTTCTGATCCTTTTTTTAAGGTATCTGTGACCAAAAGATGCATATCTGTATTTCCAGTAATGTGAAATCTATAGATTAGGGCATAATTAATTTATTTCAATTGACTGATTTCCTTATATGAACTGTAACTAAGTAAAATCTTAGAAATTGTTGCATGTTGCGTTAAATTTTTGTTCAGTATATATATTGTAATTTTGCTTTAGACTGATGCAACATATTTTTCAGTCAAATGTAAGCCATTTGATTAATGAAAGACAGCATTGAATTATTTCATATTGCACAGCAATTAATAATCTACTATTACAGCTCATATTATCAATAGATTTTCTGTCAACTCAGTTTACTATCATGTTGTTTTCTGGCCAGTGTCAGTGGTTAAGCACAGGGACAGAAACATAGTTCTGAGAACTCATGTTTACCTTTCACCTTTCAAACTTAACCAATCATAGTGTGACTTGTGCGGAAGTGGTAAACCTGTCCCTCCAGACTCCAGAGTGACAGGTATTCTTAGCCAGTGGAAGGCATAGAATGAGGGTGAGGATCGAATCGCTTGCAAGGGAGGCGGGTCTCCAGTCCATCAGGGCAACAGCAGAGGAGGGGTTCCTGGTAGCCATCTTGGATGTGCGGAGTGATTGTTTGGCGAAAACAATTAATATAATTTAGAAAAATAGCGTGAGGTCTTCGGAAAATACGATTTAAAAGAGTGGGGTCAACTAAGAAAAGAAAAGCTAAATCGGAAAATCCAGGTAAATAAATGGTACGCTAAAACAGAACAAGTTATGTGCCATTTTCTTCTCCCTTCCAATTTGTGTCTCACACTAATATCTTAGCTGGTGGTTATCCACTAGCTGGCTATCAGCTACAGAGCCAAATTGACATGGGCTCGCCTGATATGTTTTCCAAGGAAATGCATACGTTTTGCAATAATGCACGGCAATTCTGTAGCCGACAAGTTCTTGTTACTCATTTGTTGAAGTGGTATCTTGTTTGCTTATCTCTGACAAATAGAAACAGGCTTATAAAGTCATTAGCTATGTTACTTGTAAACATTTAATGTTTCTTTATTAATGCTCACTTTTTTATTAGCGATCGTTGCCCCCAAGCCAGATGTGGAGACTAGTCTAGCTCGCTTGTTGGATCTGTTGAGAAAGACTAGTGTCGGTAACATTTGGTAAATACACGCTCAAAACTCACTGGCTGATGTGATGGTAAAATGTCCTTATCGAACGGTGGTTGCGCCGAGTTACGTGGACGTGTAAAATTGTCGCAAAAAAGTATCAAGTGATGCTCAGCAAAGTAACCTGCCTTGTGCGTTACATTGTTGAACTCACGTGAACTGTCTGAATGTCAAGTATCCAGACGTCACACACTGGCTACAATGTTTCAGGTTTTCATATAGCTAGTCTAGCTAGCTACATCAGTTAGCTGCAATCTACTGCGACTTGTGATATTTACTCTTGTATTATGGTATTGATTGACAGAAAAAAATACTTGAGTTAACGTTTTAGTTAACATTTCCTCAAGAAACATGGTCAATGTTTATTTATTGTGAGACATCGAGTTTTTAAAGCATTTCTAAATTTAAAACTACAGGCTAGTACTGTACAGTACGTTAAATATCAATGTTTCTGTGATGCCCCCCTTGAAAAGTCACTTTCCCAGTTCTTGGAATGGTCAGAAATGCCTTGTTAAATGACCCATGTCTAAACCCAATTACATGCACCATTCTACCAGGAATTGACTGACTGTGTGTGAGACGTCAAGAAGTCACTGTCAACTGTGGTCTATCCACTACTCTTTAATAACTATAAGACACTTTATGATACT